AACTGCCCATAGAACCTCTCAATCTCACTCAAAATCTCAGATGTACCGGAAACGATGCTGCCACATTCTGTCTTCAGCTTTGACAGTTGGCTCTTTCTGGCAGACAAATCTCTGGCAAAGACTTTGGAGCCTTGGTTCCGCTCGATCGCTTCTTCAATACGAGCTGTATTGAAGTTGCGTAAGTCCCGCCGCATGCATTTGGAGATCTGTCTGTTCAGATGCCTGTATGCTGTCACGTCTGATGAAGAATGTAGCTTCATCTCCCGTCTAACAGCCATGAGATTAAGAGTGTGATCGGAGAGTTTTTGTGTTCTTCTGCGGCGGGTCTTGCAGAACTTAGCTCCGACCGCATGGACAGTTTCCACGAGCTTGTCATTCATATCGTCCAATTTATACCAATCCAATTAAATATAATGTGGGTGATATGATACTCCTTAAGAATGAACAATGTGTAAACAAATTTGATCCTCTTTATATAGGACCATTTAAGGTTATGGAAGATTGTGAACCAAATGTAACAATAGATTACAAAGGTATAAACATAAGTCAATACATAAAAATCGCACTAGACCATATACATAAAACAATAAAATTGTTATTATTACTATAAATACAAATAAAATTATTTAAAAATTACTGTGTTTACGATTTTTTTTATTATGATATAAGTATGTTATAGTATAAGAATTTTAATATTTTAAAATAATGTACACCTTTTTTTTATTTTATTTTTTTATAAACCAAGTTATGTTACATTTAAAAATATATATTTTTGTGAATGTTTTTTTTTTCTTTTTGCCGATGGGCGTGTAGTGTGTGGTTATATATATGTAGGATAGAATAAGAGAGAGTTAGTATTAAACCTACAATCTAGACTATTGGACGTTTTATTTATTCCCCGAACCACCCAACACTACAATTTAAACACTTTATCCCAGTTAGTGGTGTTTCCCAAAAAGATTATTACATATACCTGCCTACTGTGCCTGGACACAACATAACCATGATAAGCCACAAGTAATGTAGGGAATTGTGACTTTTTTTGCTACGATATATAGATTATAAGATGACTGTGACACTTTTTTGCATACAAATTCTATAAGGCTTTGCCATTTCAGATTTTCATCAATGTAAATGTCAAGAAACTTTGTTGTTATTTAGACTTGTATTAAAATTATGATTAGTTTTACTAAACAGTCATATTTTGTGTACTAAATAAAGTTATATTTTGTTGCCACTATCTAAAAAAGTGCGCACCGCGTCGCGTCGCCTCATGTCTCGGTGTGAACTGACCCTAAGTTCAACGTATCATGGAGAATTTTACATAAACAAATTGCACAAAAACGAACATCCAGACCTAGAATAATTATTTATATATCATACGAACACTTGTTTCAAATAAGTACAAGATTCAAGGTCAGAGCTAACACTTAACCAAACTATTAGCACAGCATCGTAGATAATTCTCTCAGACTATTATAATAATTATTGCATTAAGGCGCAGGTTGAGCAAAATGTCGCGCTAGTCGTTATTTGTGCTGTTTTTAGGAGCTATCTACTTTTTATTTAAAAGATATATCAACAAATAAAAAACACATTATATTTCTACATAATCTTGATTCCATAAAAGCTATATTAAATGTTTTTTTAAAGGAATAAATATTAATATAATCTCCTTACAACGAAACCACATAAATGTAAAATTATTATTGATAACATGCATCTCCTCGTAAAGTAAGTATTATTTTATTTTGCGATTTACACCAATGGATAGGCAATTTATTAATGAACATTTATATAGTAAAATTTTTTTCAAAAGACCAAAATTTGATTTTATTAAGAAATTATTTTAAAATCTGGGCGTATTCACTGCTCACGGGCTTGCTGGAGTCAGTGAGCCCTGAGCTCTTCGACGTGGAACCCGTGTCGTTAGAGCGTCTGCCAGCGCCGTGTGCGCTCACGTCATCTTATCAGTCGATAATATTATAATATTATTACTTATTAGGTTATTTATAGGTAGTATTATTTGTTTGTTTTGGGTATAATTTTTCGTATTAGTTTTAAAATTTCGACAAATATTATAATTTACACTATAAAAGGCTAATTCAATATTATCACCCAACCACAATATCATGTATAGTATTATTATGTATAGTACTGCCTCGTTGGTCTAGTGGTTGTAGTAGTGCGACTGCAGATCATGAGGTCCCGGGTTCGAATCCTGGGTCGGGCCAAAAAGTCAGTTATGAGTTTTTCATTTATGTTTTAAGTTATAATTAGTATTACTAAGTTATAGTTTTTTGCTAAAATATAGTATATTATTTATAGCTTGTTTTTTCTTCTTTTTCAAAAAATAATTGCGTAAATAAGATGTTCTATACTTATAATTCGGTAAAAAGTATCTAAGTAGGTACTAATATACCTACTTTTTACTATTAACTAAAAAAATTTAAAACTAAATTAACTAAAAACACTAAACTGACCATTTATTTTTTAACTCAAAACAGGACATGGGTTTATTTATACTCTAAAAACTATAACTTTATACAATTAGTGATCACTGTAAAATTATATTCGGTATAGACGATAATTATTAAATGCAACATATTTTTTTTAATTATTAATTACATTTGTCAGTGGATTAAATTTGCTTTAATAAAGTTGGTGATGATTTTAAATAAAAATAAAATTCTGCTCAAGTTTTTTTATTGTTATCTTTGTTAACAACATCGCCTTTAGAACTCTGGAACCGTAAGTGTTTCTTTCAGACGTCCACAATTTATTCAAAATAAAAAATACTCTTTCTACCGGAGCATTCGTGCCAAGTAGACATAAAATATATTCGATTAAAAAAATTATGTTGAAGAATGTTGACTTTGAATACTTCCATCCAACGAGTTACGGGACAATTTTGTGTCCCGGAGCTTTGTTTGGGGACAATGGGACAGGTGACCGAGAAAAGGGACAGTCCCGTTCAAAACGGGACGTATGGTCACTTTAGCTATAACCCGGCGACGGCTCCGTGACGTAGTAGCTTAGCAATCAGTTGTTGCGCTGGGGGCCGCGGGTTCGAATCTCGCACGGAACAAATATTTGTATGGCCTACAAATAATTGTTCCGGGTCTGGATGTTTGCCCTTGTGCAATTTATGTTTGTAAACTGCCTCCACGACACAGGAGAAAATCCTAGTGTGGGGGTAACGTTTTTTTACAATTGAAATTGAAAGATTGAACCCTTATACTTCTTGTTGATTTTTGTATTAGTAGGTAGGTATATTACTTTTCAATACGTGACACGTAAAAATTAACAATAATCAAAAACACATCTACGAAACATCCTATTTATTTATTTATTCTTTATTGCACCAAATATTTGTACAAAAGGCGAGCTATCTATTTATTTACCTATAGTGAATAGGTATCTTTTAAACTCACAATTTTCAATGCTTCATTTTTAATATATAATTAATTATAAAATTTCATAATTAGATAATATATGAAAATACATAATTCTAATATAATGCAACTAATATACCGAATAAAAAAATTAAAATACATTTATCGTTGTACGCTGTGTGTATTTCCATAAATTAGTTCATTGATGTTGAAAAAATAATACTACGTTCGTACCTACAATAGGTGGTGGCGTCGTACATATTTCAAATAAGCAATATATTGAAGCGAGCGGCGTCGGCAAAATGCTCAAGGTCGTTCGCATGGAGTAGCCCCTTAAGTTAAAGTTACAGCCTAAATATTATTATGTCCCGATGCCGGGCACAGGCTTACTCTCTGTTCTGAGAAGGTTTTGGGGCAAGGAAATGTCCGTCGCGTTGCAACAATGTTGGCGAACTTCACATATCTTAATTTTTTTTTCTCAGGTATAAACCTGCATGCCACTCGCGATGTTTTCCATTACCCCGAGCACGGGGTAAATTGCAATTAACAATTTCATTGTTGCCGGCGGAAATCGAACCCGGGTTGCTCGCATACTGTGAAATTTACAGTGAGTGCTTAGCCCCTGAGCTACCACGGCTCTTCTGTATTGCATTTTTTTTATAGAATTAGAGTGACAAGCGAGCACACAGTCCACCTGATGGTAAGTGGTTGCTATGACCCATAGACATCTACATTTATCCTCAATAAAAAAGAATCAAAATGCAGATGCGTCGTCACCCGTGAGGACTAAGATGGAATGGAATGCCTCTTTTCCAGTAAAATGGGTCTCCGGTTCTCTACACTCACCATACAAACACAGCAGTGTCAAGCTGCCATTTTACGCTGGTATTCTGTGAGAGAGTGGTCCTTCCCCAGGCGAGCCGAGCCATTCATGCTACAACTATACTATTAATATAGCTGCAGCATGGCTCTACCACGTAACGCATATGGCTTAGATAATAAATATTTGCAATTAGATATAGTTTTATTATGCCATTACACAAATACAGATTTTTTTAAGGAAAATCGAGCACCAAGCATCTAATTCAGAACGGCCATGTCTGCCACATGGCCGTTCAGAACGGCCATGTGGCAGCATAAAAAGATTCAAACAAATCTAGAAAAAATAGGCTTTAGACAGTTACTATACAAATACCAGAAGAGTTATGGCCTCCCATAGATAACAGTACAATCATCTCGTATATACCACTCACGACAGGGAGCAGGAGCAGTGCCAAAACTGAGAGACTTCTGCAACTGTGATCTGCACAGCCTACAATTGCATCCAATTCCAGCAGTGAGCTATTAGGGGCTGATGTGGAAAAAGACAAATCAATTCCAAGCAAATAATAATATTAATAAAATTATATATATTGAGAATTTTCGGCTTATCATTGATTGCAGCTTACTTAAATTAAGTATTAATTCTCTTTATATCTGTCTCTTGCTATTGCCATTTAGTGAAAAGAGAGAGCAACTTTAAATCGTAAAATGAGTAAGACTGTTTACCTATATATTTATTATTTTAGTACATATTTTGTAAATATAAAGGAGCTCTATACTCACCACTATGTCGAGAACATTCTCAGCCATAGCATAGGTGTGTACCGGGTCCTCATTGTCACCTTCTTCGCTTGTGTAATTCGAAGGAAACCTGAAGCAAATAAAAAAAAAATTGTACAGAAAAATTTCAAAAAAAATTCAAGACTTGTATATTTTAGCCAACTGTAGTAGAGTATATTTTTGGTAGTAAGTAGGATAGTTTTGGCTGGTGTACCTATTTTTGTATGTCCACAAACAGTCCAAACAGTCAATTTATCATAATTAGGTGGACAAAACAAACTATAAAATATTGTAGTGACGAATTGCTTAAAACTTACCATTACAGATTTCCTCCATAGATTGCGTCATAGGGGGGATATATGCCATAGTTGCCACGCTTGGCAAGCGGGTTGGCAAACGCAGTTTTTTATTTATTTATAGTCATTATCAGGAAGACGCTGCTGTCTATCTCCTGATTTGTTTCCCAATGTCGCTTCTTACGACACCAATGGGATGGATATGGGATAGTGAATATACTTACAACGCCACTGCATGGTAAGTTACTTGCATCCTAAAAAATAATAATAAGCGAATGTATCAAATGTGGTATCTACATCAAAGGTGGATAATATAAACCAAAATAGTAATTATTGATGGAACAATTTGTTTGTCAATAAAAAAATTAAAATATCTATGTCCTTCATGCGAATGCTTCATGCTTAGGCTTTATGTTTAAGCAGCTTACTGTTTACGGCCTAGTTTCAAAGCATGCATCAGCAACATTCGGGGTACACAAGCAAATCCAAAACGTAGTTACCAGCCGGTGTGTCCTTGGTACTGTCCCCGCCACCAGCCGTCGTTGCTTTTCTCGAGGATGAGGATACGCGTGCCCTTGGTGAGCGACAGCTCGTCGGGCTGCTGCGCCTGGTAGTTGTACTTGACCACGGCCGTGCCCAGCGCCTCGCCGGGATCCACGCGCCGCGCCCCACTGCCCGCACCCCCACCACCCCCTGGAGACTCCGGACCCCCACCCCGCACCGGCGAACTGTTCGATGGGAGCGTCTTCGACCCGGAACCCTTTTTCACCTTCTTTTTTATGCTGGAACAGCGCACGGGACGCGGATTTGGTAGTCTAATTTTGTGCACATAGGGTCAAACACTCAATTTTTTATGTGAGTAGCAAAGTATTTGGAAAATAGCGATGAAAATCTATAGGCAGGATTAAAACACGTTGTATTGAACTTATATATTATACCAGCTGTTCGCGACTTCGCCCGCGTGGAACTTATTACGATTGGATTTTACGGGTTTAAATTTTTTTTGCGCGAACCCCTAATTATTTATCTAAAATAAAAGTAGCCTAAGTTACTGCTTATAAAATTAGCTATCTGCGAGTGAAAGTCCCGTCAAAATCGGTCTAGCCGTTTCGGAGATTAGCCGGAACAAACAGACAGGCAAAAATTTTGTAAATTGTGTTTTTGTTATAAGTACCGTATATACTTTCATATGCATTTAGTAAAAATATTGTTATTTTGCCATTACAAACAGACACTTCAATTTTATTTACTTGTATATATAGAATAGATTTGTCGCAGCCAACTTAATCAGCCGTTCAATTAACAGCCTAGGCTTTTTATGTTTAACTAGTGGCCTGACTGATATTCGTTTCAGCCAAAATACAACATTCCGCCGTCTAATACATTTCATGCCTATGCAATATGTGCTATATTATATAGATATGGAGCTGGAGTGGCCCACTGACGCTGATATTACAAGATAGGTGCAATGTTGTATTAGACGCATCGGCTGAATATCATTCAGAGCACTAGTTGAATGGCGCCTTTTAGTAAAACGGCTGTTAACTGAACGACTAATTAAGCTAGTTGGCTGCGATATACAACATGTAACAAAAACCCTGTGGTTTCCATTATGTGCGTTATCAGCGCCAGTATTCAAATGTTAACTTTACTTCAGTCAATTTTATTATGATCGAGTTTTGATCATAAAAAAATTTAAATTAATTTAAATAATTTTTTTATATAATAAGCCTGGGTTATCTCCTCCCCCAACCAATGCAGAGGTAATAAAACCACATACAATTTGCAATTAAAATTTTATTTAAATTTAATTGTTTTTAGTCAAGTTTTCTAAAGTAATTTCTACACCTTTGAATACTGATTTCTGATAACGCACTTAACAGGAACCACAGGGTTTTTGTTACATGTTGTGTATAGAGACGAACATCTATAGGCGGGATTAAACATTTTGTAGTTTAACTTTTATGTATATTCCCTTTTTTATCTACCTTATATATTAGCATCAATAAATTTGTTAATAGCAATTTTAAGTGACAAAACTAAATGTCTGAGAAATTAAATATATATAGAGGAATTAGAGACAAGCTGCAGCTATATTAATAGTATAGTTGTAGTATGAATGGGTCGGCTCGACCGGGGAAGGATCACGCTCTCACAGAATACTAGCGTAAAATAGAAGCTTAACGCTGCTGTGTTTTGTATGGTGAGTGTAGAGAACCGGAGACCCTTTTAACTGGACAAGAGGCATTCCATCTTAGTCCTCACGGGTGACAACGCATCTGCATTTTGATTCTTTATAGAGGATAGATGTGGATGTCTATGGGTCACAGCAACCACTTACCAACAGGTGGACTGTATGCTCGTTTGTCACCCTATCTTATAAAAAAAATCCAACAAAACGCATTGTAGCAGCGCGGCAAAAATCTCTCCTGCTCCGAAACCATCTCAAAATAATAGGAGATTATGTCCAGCTGTAACTACTACGTAGCTACGTAAAATGTTACTTTACTTTTTTACATATAATATGTTAACAACTGTATTAAAATGTTTGGATGGTCTTAAATGATGTCAAAAGGTAGTACATTTTTACGAGTCGAGGTGATTTGATTTCTAAGAAAGTCTAAAATCATTATAGTGTGGAAAACAATTGAAATAATGCAACAAGAACAGCAACTTTGGCAAATATCCCTCCTAAATCTGTGTATGCGAGAGGCCTATGTTCAAAAATAGACATTTCATAGGCTGTAATTAATGATAAATGAATGAAATTCTAAAATCTATGTAACACACTGACACAGTAACATGCGAGCCAACGCTTCGTTTTGTAGAACAAATCGATCCTATATTTTTATCGAGCACGACGTCATCTGCGACTAATCCACGTCTAAACACACGCGAGAAAAGAAAATTTTGTGGGTTGCGAGATAAACTGTACACTTCGTAATCGATATTTTTTTCTTTGAAAATTTTAGTCGTCTAGTCAAAGATGGAGAAATTGCAATGAGCCTCTGATTTAAATTGATTGAAAATCTAATTTGAATCCAATAAAAAATTCCTAAAATAAAAAAGAGTACTATTTTTACAGAGTTTAACGTTTATATTTATTTTATTTTATACAGAGAAGATTGGAAAAAATGTTATAAAGCTTTCAATTCTCTGTGCAATATTTTTTTAATTTTAAAATTACCCCTAAAATCTTGTCGGTCTGCCACCGCAGTCTACTTCACCTGAGGGTGCCTGCCTCGTGTAGAGGCGAAACGCGTGCCGTATTGTCGACGGTGCAGTGGTGTCTACCTAGGGCAGTGGTGTTGGGAGTAGTGGTGCTGGGATTAGTGGTGACGGGGATAGTGCACGCGATTGAGGGAGGGCGGGAAGTGCTCTTCAAACTAGGCGAGACACATCATTTTATTTTATTACGCGGATCTCTTAGCCAATTGATTTTTATCATCTTTAGCATGGTAATTAACACGTGGTGGAGTTAGGCTGCAGCTATATGCATTCACAGTTGTGTTTCGTATGGTGAGTGTAAAGAACCGGAGACCCTTTTTATTGGAACCGAGGCATTCCATCTTAATCCTGAGAGGTGATAACGCATCTTTATTTTGATTCTTAATCGAGGCCAGATGTAGATGTCTGTGGGCCACAACATCCACTTACCATCTGGTGGACTGTGTGTTCTTTGTCACCTTCACTCTATAAAAAAAGGAGCTTGGAAAAATGAAATGTTTCCATTTTTATGTGACGATTTTTTTTAATTATAAGATAGTGTTTAGCTGCTATTTCATCTGATAATAAGACTAACGAAATGCCCAATTAATCAAAGGTAAAGACAGAAGCTGGCAAATTATTCCACTCCTCGCTGCAATGTTGTTGACACCTCCATGGCGCAGTGGCTTGGCATTGCGTTGCGCCGCTGAGGGCCGCGGGTTCGATCACGTACGGAACAAATATTTGTATGACCTACAAATCTTTGTTTCGGGTCTGGTTGTTTATCCTTGTGCAATTTATGTTTGTAAACTGCCCCCACGATACAGGAAAAAATCTTAGTGTGGGGGTAACGTAATGGGGTATAGTTTTTTCTTAAACAAAAGAAAATAAAACAAAAACAAACAAACTAAATGTATATTACTTGTAGTAAGTCGAAACCTTAAGAGGTAAACATAGTTAAATTCAATGTGTAATATTCGCGAAAAACATCATTAGACCTCTGACTGTAAACCAGAAACTGGTTGGTGTATAACCGAACCCGAAGGACGACATGATCGTTAACAGTTATATAAAGTCCTAACCTGTCAAAGAGCGAGGGTTTCTCCTTCTTGACGTAGTTGCTGGGCACGTAGCCAGACTGGCTGCGCGCGTTCTGCACGCGCCACCAGTGCTTGGAGTCGTCCAGCAGGAGGTAGCGCTCGTTCTTGCGCAGGTCCAACTCCTGGGCGCCTTGCGCCGCGTAATCGTACTTCGCGACCACATAGCACACGTCGTCCTGGAATACGACAGCTCGAGTTATAGGGCTAATAGATTAACATCACATGTGTATGTGTGTATATTTGTGTGAATGGGTCTGCTAGAACGGGAAAGGATCACGCTCTCACAGAATACCAGCGTAAAATAGCAGCTTAATGCCTCCGTGTTTCGTATGGTGAGTGTAGAGAACCGGAGACCCTTTTTACTGGAAATGAGGCATTCCATGTTAGTCCTCAGGGGCGACAGCGTATCTGCATTTTCATGATTAATCGAGGATAGATGTAGATGTCTAAGGGCCACAGCATCCACTCACCATCAGGTTGACTGTGTGCTCGTTTGTCACCCAATTCCATAAACAGGTTGGATTTGCCCTAAGTGTCACACCCGGCAGGCGGATGGATAATCGTGAGCACCTATGCCGCCACTTTCGTTCGCTAAAAAAATTAGCTACATTACCTCCACACTAGGATTTTCGCCTGAAACGTGGAGACAGTTTACATACATAAATTACACAAGAACAAACATACAGACAATTATTTGTAGGCCATACATACTTGTTCCGTGCGGGATTCGAACCCGCCGCCCTTAACTCTATGCCCAGCCACTGCGCTATGGAGCCGTTAAATTATTATATCGCCATGTATTGAAAGTCATGATTAATGATTTCTTATATTTACACGAACACTATCACTACACCACAGAATAAATAATAGTACTACGTACAGAAGTTGCACTCTTTTGATGTTGACTGCTTGCCGACGTTTTAATAGCCTACATAGTTATTATTAATCAGATAAATCGCGCACGCAAGCTAAATAAAACTTTATCGCTGCGCGCGAGTGTCCCTATTACTATGCATCTTTTCTGCTTACTACGTCACAACGGACTTTTCGTGGTTGCTAAGGGCTGTTAATAAAGAGTAAAAAATACATTGTGAAATGATAAGTTACTTAAGTAGAGTACGTATGCTAACTATAATCGACCATATTATCTACTATGTGAGTTCTGTGATGCCCAACGCAAGCAACTTGCAAGGCCATTTGTCCGGAATCTTATGCTTGGTTCATATAGTTAGATAGTGTAAACAACAAATAAACCCGAAATACGATTCACAACAGAAATATGATCGTAATCTACTTAGTGGAAATCTTGTAAACAAAGTTTTAATTTCAGTATTTTGTGTTATAACTTAAAATATTTTAATTACAAAGACGAGTATAGTATGTAAGTAGGTACTTGGGTAGTGAAGTAAATTTCAATCAAATTACTTAGGTATTACTTCTGTTTTCGCTATAAGTACCTATATAACAAAAAATTTAATAAATTTACCTTTCATTATCCTTCGTTAACTCAAAATATGATATATCTGAACCCTTTTAATTGCTCATTAAGCATCAATCCCCACAACAATTATAGTAGGAACGACGTTTTGCCATTAAACTATTTCAACGAGTATTTCAACAAGTATTTACAAAAAATTATTTACGTAAACACCCTTAAAAAAACTTTAACATTCCATCGTATAGAGCGCGCTAGCCCCGACTGCGATCTACCCCTGGGGCAGCTCGCGATTGTAGGTAATTATTTCAAGCAGGTAGCAAGAGTGACAGAGGCCTGACTACACATTGAATAAAGCAATTTTTACGGATTTCATCGTTTTTCCATCATCATCATCATCATTACAGCCTTTCATAAGTCCACTGCTGAACATAGGCCTCCCCCAAGGAATGCCACTAAGCACGGTCCTGAGCCACCTGCATCCATCGACTTTCTGCATGTCATACCAGGTCGTCACTCCATCTCGCGGGGGGTCGCCCTACACTTCGCCTACCGGTACGAGGCTGCCACTCAAGAACCTTTCTTCCCCATCGGTTGTCGGTTCTTCGAGCTATATGGCCGGCCCACTGCCACTTCAGTTTACTAATCCGTTGGGCTATGTCGGTTACTCTGGTTCTTCTGCGGATATCCTCATTCCTAAGTTTATCACGCAGAGAAACCCCGAGCATAGCCCTCTCCATAGCTCGCTGAGCGACCTTGAGCTTCCTCATACGGCCAGCAGTGAAGGACCACGTCTCAGTTCCGTAAGTCATCACTGGCAACACGCACTGGTTGTACAATTTCGTTTTAAGGTTTTGAGGTATGTCTGACGAGAAGATGTGTCGTAGCTTCCCGAACGCTGCCCAGCCGAGTTGAATCCGTCGATTGACCTCTCGGTCGAAGTTGGACTTTACCTAGTCGGACAATCAAATTAACTACCGGCATAGGTGCGACATGGACATTAAAAATAATCTTTGTTTTGTCCATGTTCATCTTAAGACCTATCCGTTGTGAGACACTATTGAGGTCATTGAGCATAGTGCTTAGGTCTTCCAGCGATTCTGCCATAAGGACTATATCGTCGGCAAATCGAAGGTGAGTGATGTACTCGCCATTGATGTTAATACCGTATCGTTTCCAATCCAGAAGCTTGAAAACGTCTTCCAATGCAGCGGTGAAGAGTTTCGGGGATATAACATCACCCTGTCTTACACCTCTCTGCAATTGGATAGATTTCGTACTCTGGTTCTGTACTCGGATAGCCATCGTAGCTCTACTGTACAAACACTTCAGCACTTCGATATACCGACAGTCAACTTGGCACCGCTGAAGGGACTGCAGCACCGCCCAAATTTCGACGGAATCAAAGGCTTTCTCATAGTCCACATACGCCAGACATAGTGGCAAATTGTACTCTTCGAACTTCTGTACAATTTGCCGAAGGGTATGTATGTGGCCTATAGTGCTAAAGCCCTTTCGGAAACCGGCTTGTTCGGGAGACTGGAAGTCGTCAAGTCTGCGCGCGAGACGATTCGTAATGACTCTCGAAAACAGCACGTAGACGCAGATCAGAAGGGAAATCGGTCTGCAGTTCTTCAAGAGAGCTTTGTCACCTTTCTTGAAGAACATGACCACCGCACTTCTGCTCCACGCCTCCGGTGTAATGCCACTATGGAGGACGGAATTAAAGAGCTTCTGAAGGACTTCAAGTACCGGTCTTCTACCCGCTTTCAGAAACTCCGCTGTAATTCCATCCTCGCCTGGGGCCTTGCCGTTTTTAAGGTGCTGGAGAACCATTCTAATCTCGCTCAGACTGACGTCCGGGATATCTTCGGAATAGTGTCGGATAAGACTCGCTCTTGGATCGTTACTCACACTTGCGTTTGGCTCCAACGATGACGTGTACAGCTGCCCATAGAACCTCTCAATCTCACTCAAAATCTCAGGTGTCCTGGAAACGATACTGCCACGTTCGGTCTTCAGCTTTGACAGTTGGCTCTTTCTGGCACACAGATCTCTGGCAAAGACTTTGGAGCCTTAGTTCCGCTCGATCGCTTCTTCAATACAAACTGTATTGAAGTTGCGTAAGTCCCGCCGCATGCATTTGGAGATCTGTCTGTTCAGTTGCCTGTATGCTGTCAAATCTGTTGAAGAATGTAGCTTCATCTCCCGTCTAACAGCCATGAGATTAAGAGTGTGATCGGAGAGTTTTTGTGTTCTTCTGCGGCGGGTCTTGCAGAACTTAGCTCCGACCGCATGGACAGTTTCCACGAGCTTGTCATTCATATCGTCCACTTCATTGCAGTCTTCTAGGCACTGAAAACGGTTTTGTAACTCGAGCTGAAAGGTTTCGGGACTTTGGAACAGAGCACGAGGGGGACGGAGCGTTGACTTCATTAGACGAGACCTCTCCAACTTAACGTTTAGGTTCAGTGTGCCTCTAACCATTCGGTGATTGCTACCAGTTTTCACCCTCGCGATCACGGAGACATCACTGAACAGTTGTCGTCTGGTCGTCATAATGAAGTCAATCTCATTTTTTGTCGAACCGTCGGGGCTCGACCAGGTCCACTTCCTGTGGGGCCGCTTCTGGAAGAAAGAGTTCATCATAAAGAGTCCCTCTTTCTCCATGAAGTCGGCCATCTGCTGGCCCCTTGGGTTCCGTTGCCCTATTTCAAATTTCCCTACTTTCAGCTCACCGTTCTCTCTTGTGCCTAGTTTTGCATTGAAGTCTCCCATTAACACCGTATATTGGGTTTTGAAGGAATGTATGGCTCTAGAGATATCCTCATACATTTCCTCCACCTCCTCATCGGGGTGTGCCGAGGTTGGTGCGTAAACCTGTATGACCTTCAGCGAATACCGTTTGGTGATTCTGAGTATAAGGTACGCAACCCTCGTCGACACACTCCCGATCTTTACAACGTTGTTAACGAGAGACTTGTGGACGATAAATCCGACACCTCCTTGGGACAGATGGTCGCCCTCCCGGTGATAGAGCAAGTTGCCGGATTCGAGGATTACCGTGTCCTCCCCCTCTCTTCGGACTTCGGATAATCCTACAATATGCCAGCGCAACTTGTCTATATCTTCTTCCAGCTCCACGGTCTTCTCGTCAGTCCTCAGGGTGCGTGCGTTGTACGTTGCCAGGTCGAGTCGTCTAAGGTGGCAACCGAACCTCCACCGGAGATTTTTAGCACCCCCTACCCCGCCGTTACCATGGTCGCCACCGTAGCCAGGAATAGCGGGGCCGCCGGAGACTGGGGGCCGTCTGTTTGTTGCTCTAATCATTGGGGGGTATTTGCCATAGCTGCCACGCTTGGCGAGCGGGTTGGCAACCGCAGTTTTTTATTGTAATTTTGGCTATTATCAGGAAGATGCTGCTGCCCATCTCCTGCCTGTTTCCCTTTGTCACCTTTTACGACACCCACGGGAGGATATGGGGTAGTGGATATTCTTGACCGCCACTACACGGCTTTTATTTTATCGTGTTTTATTTTACTCAAATTTTATTCCCGACGTTATCCCTGTGGGTGTCGTGAGGCGACAGAAAGAAAAAAATCAGGAGATAATAACTACTAAAAATAAAAAAACTGCTGATGCCAACCCGCTACCATGCGTGGCAACTATGGCAAATATCTTCCCTATGAAGCAATCTATGCGGGAGGCCTATGATCAGCAGTGGACTTTAGGCTGTAACGGTAACCCACGGAAGTTCAGCGTCGAATTAACTACTCTGTCAGTACCAAGTCTATGCCGAGTTGGGTACTTTTTTAGTAACCATTTACTAAATTTAAAATAATATGCAATTATTGTAAGCAAAATTTTATAATTTGTTTCCAAAGCAACCTATTTTCCTTCTTTCATTCTTTCTTCAGTTTTACTAAAACAAATCTATTTCAGATTAAGTAACGTAAGTCAAGAGCCAAAATTTCTCGGCATAATAAATAAATATGTAGTTCAGTCATTATTGCCAAATGTTAGATATGGGAGGCGCAGTCGCGGACGTAGTCCGACAACATCCGTCTCCTTAGCAATCGAAATGACAGCAACTAGGAGAAGAGGGGTCAAGTGCAGTTAGACATTATATTCATGGACATGACGCAAGTAATTCGCCAGCGTATGCGAACAGGATTATATCATATTGACCAATATGACTCGTTCGTCCAGTAAGTTGACAATAAGATTCGATCGGATAATACGCATATCCTCATTTGCGAATTAAAATGTAGATGCGTTGTCAGCCGTGAGGACTAAGATAGAATGCATCTCATCGAACGAAACACAGCTGCATTAAGCTGCTATTTTACTTATGTATTTTATGAGGTTCAATTGTAACTGTTGGCTACATTTTTTTTAATTAAGAGTTTCTTGCTGCTACATCTCACAAGGTCTTCCCGCAGTAGACTTGTAGATGCGATGGAGTAGCATTTGACTTACAAAAAGAGCTTTGAAGCCAATCTATCTAGATATATAAAAATCAATTCCTTTTTTATATAAGAGGGGGCAAACTAGCATGCGGCTCACATGATGGGCGGCGGTAGTCACTTAGACTACCGCCGCCCAATAACAACTGCAACACCAGGGAATTGCAGATGCGTTGCCGGGAATTTAAAAAAGAGTGGTCTCTTTTCTTGAAGGGCTTCAAGTCGTATCGGTCCGGTCTGCTTTTTTTTTCGCTTTTATTTTTGTTTAACAAAGTCTTGACTTCAGACACAAGTTTGTTACGGTACTCGGCGACGTTTTCCCGAGAAATATTGCCACGGCCGGTGTATAAATAAAACATTACCAGTGATGTCGTCCACATAGGCCGCTCCGATCTGCAAGAAAACTGGTGATCCAATTGCAAAATTTCTCGGTAAGCCCATAGGAAGGAAGCTTCGTAAAACGTGCGTTGTGCCAAACCCTTGAACTCTACTGCCTCCGCCAATCCGTCTTTGAGTTAGGTAACCCAGAAGATCACCAGCTGAGCAAACCCTACGGAAACCGTACTGACGGTCACTAATCAGCTGGTTATCCTCAAGGTACCTCATGAGCTGGCAGTTAATAATGGTTTCCATTATTTTGGAGAACAAGGAAGTGATAGCCATAGGCCTGTAGTTGGACGGATCTCAGCGGTCGCCTTTTTTAGGTATCGGGTGCACCAAAGCTGTCTTCCATGAGTTTGAGACTACGCCTAGGGAGTAGCAGTACCGGAAAAGACGCGTTAAAACCGGTGCCAACTCCGGAGCACAGGTCTTCAGCACAATCCATCAGATCCACTCGACTTTTTGACGTCCAGGGCGAGGAGTGCTGTGCGCACCGAGCGCTGTGTAAACAGCACATCCTGCATGGATCACTCACACCGCGGGATGGTCGATGGTGTGTTCCCCATGTCTTCGAGAGTCGAGTTGGAAGAAAATAGAGAGCCTAGCAGATTGGATTTCTCCTTTGCGCCAGTGAGTCGTCCTCCCTGTGCAGAGATGGCAGAGATGGCTGACAGAAGTTCCCTTGGACAGCCTCGGCGAGAGACCAGAATGCATGTGTTCCAGAAGGAAGTCGAACTAATTTTTCGACAATTCTGACGATGTGCTCTGATTTTGCGTTGGCAATGACTCTTTTGAAGAACCGGAAATTATACTTCTTTTTAAGAACGGTGGTATTAGCACCCCGAGACGTTGATGCGTCACCCCACGGCTGGTAGCACTCCTGCTTATGGCGTGATGCAAGTTTACAGTGAGTGACCAAACCATGGCCGAGTTCTGCCTCCGATAGGCACCACAGATGGTGGAATAGAGTTGCATTTCTTGAATTACCACATTAACGACAGAACCAGCAATAACACTGTGTGGGATCATCCGGCGAGAAGTAAACCCGCCCCCTTGGGGCCCCTACCCTTGGGTAGGATGCAAAAAAAGACCGCATCCCATCCCAATCGGCTGACCTAATGTGCCAAACACGGCGGCAATCTGCAGAACGCAACCACGATGGGAGCGTGAGTGGCACCAAAATTACTGGTTCAGGAGTAATGTACACGCTAATAAGACATAAATTACCATTTTTATAACTTTTGTTTGTCTGTCTTTCTTTCTGATTGTCTCTAATATAAATTTAAAAAGAAAACATTTGACTAGTATTTCACTTCCTCGAAAGCTAGATTTCATAGGTCACCGTCCATTGGCGACACTACTAGAATATCATCACATAAAAAATAGACACTTAAAATTTTGACTTTAATATACCAGATCCCTGTTAATCATCCAAATTAAGCAGGATAACATTACTCAACAATGCATTCTCAACTTAGTACAGAAGGAATGGGTAGAGTATATGTGGTAACATTTTGTTACTGGTAGTAGAATATTTTACTTTGAACCAGCGGGCCTGGCAGGTGTACCTGCCCTGAAAATAAAAAAAATGTGAATCTAAGGCATCGAGGGATCAACTCAAACACAAAAAATTTCATCAAAATTGGTCCAGCCATTTAGGAGGAATTCTGTGACAAACACACATACAGAAGAATTATACGAGTACTAAGAGATCCGGCCCAGTTTCGCACGGGCGATTTCTGGATATCGACTACAGCGGCACCTACCGGGCCCAATTGTGAATCTAAACTATTCTCGAATCAACTTAATCACACACACAAAATTACATTAAAATCGGTCCACCCGTTTTGGAGAAATTCAATGATATATAAACGGACAGAAGAATTATAAATATAAAGACGTATAAAAATAAATATCTAATCACGTAAATGCTTAGTTCGATTAGTGACAGCTTAAGAGTACCATTATTATTCCATTTCAACACGTGGATCCCGTAAAAGGGGACTATGGGAAATGTTGGAAAAATCTTATGATAATTTGTGGTATAACCATCTTGTTTACGTCAGATGTAAATTACCTATACAGGAGACAGGCAACAGAGTCAAAGCTTTATTTAATGAAACAACAAACAAACTTACAGGCCACCCGAGTGTATGTGGCTATATTCCTACAGCCAAATCAAACAAAGAAAGCTACAGAGGCATTGTCACCTCTTGGGGCTAAGTTACGGTCTTACGGTCTGTAATTATACTGGCTCTCAATTCCCTTCAGACTGGTGGACAACAGTGCACACACTGCTATTTGGCTGCATAAATAGTTTAGAGGGTAGTACTCACACAGACAGACGCCCAGTCAGAAACGAAGTCTTATGCATGTTACCCCAGAACTTTTTTCTAGGTGAACCGATTATGATGATTCTTTTTTTTATTTGAAAGCTAGTGCTTCTCATGTGGCCCCTCATAAATTTTTACAAGATCTGACCAGTAGTTTTTGAGTTATCCTTAATATAGTATTTAATTAGATTCAACTACATTGAGGTTCTCTTTTTATTTATATTGAAGATGGGTGTACAATTTTTTTTAATTTTACCACTTGATTCAATAGTTGAACTATTTGCTCAAAAGCCACTAATATAGATCTTCAGGTTTTTTTTAAAAGTTCTATCCAGATAAAGTCATAGGTAAAAGCTAGTAATGTAGTAAAATTCCATAAAATATTGCTCAAGTGTAAGGAGAAGAGAAGTTTAAAAAACTGTTTAATGTACCTGATTCATGCGACCTATTAAAAAATTGATTACTACTTTGAAGTTAAGGTTGTATTGAAATAAAATTTATGAATTAGTGATCAGCTGACAGGATAAAACATAATATATGAAAATACAATGATCCCAATATTTTGTCCGTTAGTCTATAGCAGTCTCACTTTTTTAAAGCAGTGGTAGATTTTAATGTTCATAAGAGCTCTAAATGGGCCTTAACTGAATAAAACATTTTAGATGTTATTAATTTTAACTTCTAACAGTTGAGCCAAGATTTTTTAGTCTTTACTTATTTAAGTAAGTAGTGAAAAAAATAATAATTAAGTGATTATTTAGATTTACATAATTTATCTGAGCTGGTGCAGAAGAATATTATGTAATATGGGCTTTAGAGCAGTCTAAATAGAACTTTCACTGGGTGCAACGGATGAACTACCTGAGCATTCTTTCCGTGCCTTACGTTGGCCATGGCGTGAGGCGCCGGCAACGGCTTGTTCGCCCACACCGAGTCAGCGGCACGCACCGACCGCGTCTCCAACATGACCCCCTTATGGGAGCCCTGGCACCGCACCTAAGCCGCAGTTTCAATGCTCCATCACAAATCTGCACTGCACAGCACCGCAATGCACCACTGCACCAATTTCCTTCAATTTTCACTTATACACATCTATCGGTAGAAAATCTATATAAAAACGCACAACATCTATTGTAGAACGTGCGAAAATTCAATCAGCGGATAGAAATGTACGGGGGATTGTACACTGCGATGATCGCGAACAATTAATTACCACCAAATAAGTATCACTACTGGTTTATTTAAGAAATATAATATTTTAATACTCTAATTCTTTCACAACTTTGTCACATTTGTGAATATAAAAAGAAAATTTTCACAATATCGGTGGGGCCCCAACGAATCAATAGACAAAAGAAAGGATTTATTTTTATTTTATTGGTACATTGCTAGTGGGTAGGTGAATCATAGACAACACTTAAAGTCATACATTTCGTATCGATATGCTGCACAAAGACAACGGTTTTCACAATAACGCTCAATCGAATTAAATTCAAAATTTCAAACGCGACACAGCTAATGTAAATCCATATTCATTCCGTTCCGCGATGAAACAACGTAATTATCAACCTACTAGAAATTTGTTGCCTCCCTGTCTAACTGATGCCTGCCAATCGTGAAAAACGAGACAAAGCAAAAATCGAGTGCGTTTATCGTTAGCTGTTTGGTTGCCAACCTAAATGCGAACGCCAAAACTTTAAGATATTATTTTAAATTAAACTTTATAGGAACATGGTAAAGTCTACATCTAAATGCGAGCTGATTTCTTGATTGGAATGTTAAAAATAAAACAAATTTTGTTTTTAATATTCTAACCTCGTGGATCACTGGCAACTTTAATTGCAGAAACGGTTATTAAACTGTATTTCATATCCATATCTAATAACAGTTTTTGATATCGATATGAAAACTTCACATCGGTTTTGTAAACATTAATATAAAAAAACTGATATGACAGACAAGGGTGGAGCAGCTTGATAATTAAGAGCTGAGGGACTCAAGTCAAGTTGAACTCTAAGTATTTGATATTTTTTCATTCGTGTGTTTTTATATTACTCAAGTCGCTCAAAAAACACTGAACTCAAATCACTTTAATACACAGTTACGGTTAGCCATAGCTTTAAACAATGGGTATAAAATTTACAGTACAAAACATTCGGTAGAATTCACTAGTTAGTCTGTGTATGTTACCTTTTATCTTTTATATTCACTACGGGTCTACGGAACATCACAAGCGTAGATAGAGGATTGACATTGATAAGATACTATGTCTATGATCACAAGTCGCTTTGCCACAGACACAGAATAAATAATAGTACTACGTACCACATAGTAATTCTTAACTTTTTAATTTTCCTTTTAGGGATACGCAAAGGAAAAATATATCGACATATATTGAATCGATATTTTTAAACGGTATCGATATATATCGCATGATAAATATCGATATATCAATATAACGTTGTCATTTGCATGATGTAAGGATAAGGCCCAAAATTTAATATTACTGACGGTTGGACGAAGAGAAAAAAAGGACAACCACAAATGCATGCTTTTGTAGCTCCTTTTGTAGTGTTATGTTTTTGTCCATTAGTACAACATTTTAATTTAAAATATAAATATATCGAAATGAATATGAATTCGAAAATAAACATTGATATATCACGATTAGAAATATTGAATGTAGATATCGATACTTTTATGAGAAAATATCGATATTTTTTGCCCAAGCCTATTTCCTTTTGGTTTTGGTTTGCTTTTGCTACGTATCGAGTATCGACATTTTGTTGTTTCGCTAAATTTTTTCATAAATGTCTTGAATGTTTAAATATATATGTGATAAGTGATCATGTCTGATTCAGAAGCAAGTAATTATTCAGGTAGTGGCTCGGAAGCAGCTAGTGTGGTGTCAAATAGATCGCGAAGAAGTGCTGCATCTAATCGCTCCGCTAGATCCCGTTCTATCTCTAGATCGCGGTCGCGGTCGCGATCAGGAAGCCGAAGCCCTTCTCGGACTCCTTCCAGATCACGTTCTCGGTCGCGATCTCGTTCACGCTCTAGGTATGCTTATTCATGACTATTTTCCACTCACCTTTGATTTGCTGACGATATAATAATTAAAGAAGAATTTCTGGAGGACCTCAACACTGCTCAATAACCTCAATAGTGTCTCCCAGCGGGGATGTCTTAAAATGAACATGGACATGACAAAGATCATGTGTAATGTCACCTCACTCTTATGCTAATAGTTATTGAGAGCTCTACACTCAAAATTGTTGACAAGGTATGTTTACCTAGGACAAACTGTCTAATTAGGTAACTCGAATTTCGACCAGGAGGTCAAACGGCCGATCCAACTCGAATTTTTTGAGACTCAGGAGATTATGACACATCTTCACGTCACACATACCTCAAATTTTGAAAACAAGTGCACAACCAGAGCATAGGAGAAATTTCAAGATCAAAGTCAAAAGGTCAAGCTCAGCAAGCTATGGAGAGTGCGTGGACTTTGAAATGAGGTTATCCACAGTAAACCAGAGTAACCAACAGATCAGTAAGCTGTAGTGGCGCAGGACTTTATGTGCTTTTCGAGGCACAGGGGTTAAACACCGCCAACTTCCTAACTCATCAGGGCTGCTACTTAGAAGTTCTTGACAGAAATCTCCAATAATTGATTTTGTCCTGACCCGGGATTCGAACCCAGGACCTCATTATCAGCAACTGCAATCACTACACCAACAAGGCAAACAGATAGCCTCGTACCAGTTTGTTGACTGTGTTTCATGGGGTTTCTTGGGGTTTAGGCCTATTTTCAGTGTACTTGTAAAGGGCTATGATGATGATGATGATGATTTAACTCAAAAAGTCATGATCAATGGTAAAGGTTCCTCCGGATCGATATCAATGGGCGTTCCTCAGGGCTCGATTCTTAGCCCATTCCTGTTCTTAATCTATATTAATGACACCTTATCTTGTAGGGGACAATCACAATATAGTATTATTGCTGATAATACCTTTTTGATTTTCAAACTCAAATGGCAGTCAATTAATTATAACTGTAAATAATGCTCTATCAAAATTAGTACATTGGTTTAACAACAACAATTTAATACCAGTAATAACACAAAATGTATAGTTAAATTAGTTAACAATGGGCTATTTTCCACAACTCCACATCGAAGCACGTATTGTGAGCAGGAATAATGTATTTATTCAAACCATGAGATCTCCCTGAAGAAGTTCAACAGTCCTCTGATGTTGCATGCAACTTCAGGGAGTGATCCCGGGGTACCGAGATGTTTAGCCCTGTATGCAACGACTTCCGGACATGTCATCAAAATGTATTAAATTTACAATACCTAATGTTAAACATTTGAATACCAATGTGCTCTTAAATGGGCAGGAGCTGTCTTGTGGATACCACTGTTTTTCATGGTATTACTATTGATGCAAAGCTACAATTGTGGCCCCATATATCTAAATTAGCAAGCAGACTTAGTTCTGCAGCATATGCTGTAAGAAAGATTAGAAGTCTCACAGATGTTGAGACAGCTAGATTAGTTTATTTTAGTTACTTTCACAGCGTAATGTCTTATGGAATTTTGCTATGGGGTAATGTGACTGATATTGAAGTCATATTTGTTTTGCAAAACAGAGTCATACGGGGGATTTATAACTTAAATTGTAAAGAATCCTTCAGAAAAATAAAAATATTATCTTTGGCATAGCAATATATTTATGAAAATGTAATAATATATATACTTAAAAACATAAATAGCTTTGATAAGAATAAAGATGTTCATACTATAAACACTAGGAATAAACATAAGCTTGTAATGTCACTTACTAGATTCCACAGAATCATTAATTAATTTATGGGGCAATGTATACACTTTTGTAAAAACAACAAACATGTTCAAAGTTTGTCAATAAACAAGTTTAAAAGTTTTATTAAAGAAAAACTGTACAAAAAGGGTTATTATAATATCAATGAATACAGGAATGAAAATAAAACCTGGTAATAAATTCATTTAAAAATTGTACAAAAAAATTATTGTTAAGAGAAATATGTTTAAAAAAAAGTCCCGCTGGGTTTCTTGCTGGTTCTTCCCAGGACAGAAATATTTTCCGAACCAGTGGTAAATAAAAAAATGACTTTCAAAAGGTATTATGTATTAATCAATATTGAATAAAAAAATCATTCTATTCTATTCTATTCTATAACGGTGATTGTTATTTATCAAAGGCTAGTTACTTAGGTAAACTTTCAATATTTTGATGTTATTATATAGTGACTTTTCAATGGTGAATGTTTACCAGGAGCCATTCTGCTGGTTCTGACGGCAGCCGCAACAAAGATGATGAGGCTAAGGAAGCCTCAGGTGATGAAGAAGTTGAGGTATTTATTTAGTATTGTTTCTTTTCTTCAGATTTTCACGTTAAGATTTTTTGTATCTTACACTCTCATAACTATTTCTGCCCGTAGCTATGTAGTACACACACTTCTGTCTTTTGGTTGTAAGGGTATCACAGTCTTTTAGGTTACTAAGAATTCTTTCTTACCTTTTGTTTTTGCTGTAACTGAAAAATATTTAAAATTAAAGGTTAACAAACATAAAATCCATTTTGTATAAATATACAGAATGGGAGATGGTATTTCCCTTTGAAATTGAGGAAGTACAACCATTATAAATCTTGAAATAATAGGCTGAATCAATACTCTATTAACTAATCTATTACCAACAATATTTTGCAGTTTTCCTAAGAACAATGAAATCTTTATCACTCACTATCACACATGCAATAACACTGTCTTTTAATGTTATTGAGTAAGAGCAACAAACAAGCACATAGTGCACTTTATGGTAAGTGGATGCCACGGCTCATAAACATCTTCATTTATCCTCAATTTAAAAATGAATGCAGAGGGTTTGTCACTCCTGAGGATTAAGATGGAAAGCCTTATTACTAGTAAAAAGGGTCCCCGGTTGTCTACACTCACCATACAAAACACAGCATTATTCTGCTGTTTAATGCTAGTATTCTGTCAGAGTATAAAGTGTGAAACGCAGTAGTAAAGTCACTGTAAAAAAATCATGTCATAAATAGGTTCTTACTTATTGGGTGGTACCAACCCAAACCTAGGCAGAAGTCCTACCACCTAGTGAATATAACCTACCTACCTACCTAGGAAATAGAGTGTTTTTATGAGTACTATCTGATACATGCTGGCTAGTTATATTAATAATTTTGAATGATTATCTGGCTGACAGCAACTAAATTAATGTACGAGGGTGGATTGAAAAGTACTCGGCCTAACCAAGAAAATAAACACATACTAAATCAGTTATATTTTTATTTTTCTACATAATCACCATCAAGTTTAATACACTTTTGCCACCTCCCCTTCCAAGCATTTAGACCGTTGAAAAAAAATGATTCTTCCTTAGAGTCAAAATATGCGTCTACAGCTGCTTTGACATCGTCGTTTGTCGAAAATCTTTGACCTCCCAAGTGCTTTTTTAGGTTAGGGAACAGAAAGAAGTCTGATGGTGCCAGATCAGGTGAATACGGCGGATGCGGTAACAGTTCAAAGCCACAGTTGTGAATTTCAGCCATTGACTGTACTGACGTGTGAACACGGGCGTTATCTTGATGAAACAGGACTTTTCTTCTGAGCATTCCTCGACGTTTTTCTTTTATTTCCTCTCGTAAACGACGTAGTAAGGTGCAGTAGTAATCAGAGTTTATATTCTGACCCCTTTCAAGATAATCAATCATAATCACACCTTTCGAGTCCCAGAATACTGAAGCCATCACCTTATTTGCCGACAAAATCGACTTAGCCTTTTTAGGGGGTGGTGAACCAGGTCTTCTCCACTGTTTTGATTGTTGTTTTGTTTCCGGTGTACAGTAATGAACCCATGTTTCGTCCATAGTAACAAAACGATTCAAAAAATCATCTGCATCGGCTTCAAATAACTCCAAACAGTCGCGTGAAATAGTCAATCGCGTCCTTTTTTGTTCAACTGAAAGCAGTCGCGGAACCCACCTCGCAGACACCTTGTGGAAACCCAACTCGTTGACAATGATGTTTTGAGTTTGTTCATAAGAGATGCCTATAATCTCGGCTATCTCTCTAATTTTTAATCTGCGGTCTCCCATTATAATAATCAAGTACTTTTTTAATATTTTCGTCAGTAGTTGACGTCGAAGGCCTTCCAGAGCGGGGTTCATCTTTCACACTCTCTCTACCACGCTTAAATTCTGCTATCCATTTTTTGACGGATGAATATGACAGAGCACAATCGCCTAATGTACTGACCATGTCATCATGGATGGCTTTTGATGATAGCCCCTTCTTATGGAGGTACTTAATGACGGCACGCTGCTCGATTTGCTCCATTCGCGGAAATTATGTCCGATTACTTTGTTAATAAATTTATAAAATCACAACTAATTATCGCACACGTTTCGAACTTCACACAATGAACTAGTCTGAACTGAACTAAATAATGTGGATAGATTTGATTTTTAGAATTGAATGGATCTGTGTTAGGCCGAGTACTTTTCAATCCACCCTCGTAAGTTAAAGAGAAGCCGTGAGCTGTATGAAAGTTCTATGTACAACAGTGGACTGTTGCAGGTTAATAGTGATATTAGTAACTGTGTGACTACATTTCTAAATATTATAAAATTACAGGATGAACAAGAACCTGAAGGTGAAGATCTTGTAGATTCGGAAGAATATGACGAAGATGAGGATGAAGAAAGACGAAGGAAAAAACGGAAGAAGGATAGTCGGTATGGAGGGTTCATTATTGATGAAGCTGAGGTAAGAGAAAACATTAAACTGTTTATTCTGTTTTTTAATTATTGAACATTGCATTAGTAAAATTAATTGTTCCAATTTCCATGACAGGTGGATGATGAAGTTGATGAAGATGATGAATGGGAAGAGGGTGCCCAGGAAATGGGCATTGTGGGCAATGAAGTTGATGAGATTGGGCCCACTGCCCGGGAAATCGAAGGTCGACGAAGAGGTACTAACCTTTGGGACTCACAGAAAGAAGAGGAAATTGAAGAATATCTCAGAAATAAATATGCTGACGAATCCGCCGCTTTAAGGCATTTTGGTGAAGGTGGAGAGGAAATGTCTGATGAAATCACTCAACAAACACTACTCCCAGGAATAAAGGATCCTAATTTGTGGATGGTAAAGTGCCATATTGGTGAAGAAAAGTCAACAGTTCTACTTCTTATGAGGAAGTTTATTGCATATAAGAATTCAGAGGAGCCTTTTCAGATTAAATCTGTAGTTGCGCCTGAAGGTGTCAAAGGATACATCTACATTGAAGCATACAAACAAACACATGTTAAAGCAATTATAAACAATGTCAGTGCTTTGAGAATGGGTACATGGAAGCAAGATATGGTACCAATTAAAGAAATGACTGATGTTCTGAGAGTAGTTAAGGAACAATCGGGCTTGAAGCCGAAGCAATGGGTCAGGCTGAAGAGAGGATTGTACAAAGATGACATAGCTCAAGTAGACTATGTGGATTTGGCTCAAAATCAAGTTCACTTAAAATTGCTGCCTAGAATAGACTACACGAGGCTAAGAGGTGCTCTGAGAACAGTGCAGAGCGAAAGTGAAGCGGCTAAAAGGAAAAAGAAGCGACGTCCAGCAGCTAAACCATTTGACCCGGAAGCTATACGTGCTATTGGTGGTGAAGTCACTTCAGATGGTGACTTTTTAATTTTTGAGGGTAATAGATATTCGAGGAAAGGTTTCTTATACAAAAATTTCACAATGTCAGCTATTTTAGCAGAAGGCGTTAAGCCTTCTCTTACAGAATTGGAAAGGTTTGAAGAACAGCCCGAAGGAATTGATATTGAATTGGCAGCACCGGCGAAGGATGATCCAACTAGTCTTCATTCTTTTTCAATGGGCGATAATGTTGAAGTATGCTCCGGTGATCTTGCAAATTTACAAGCCAAGATTATTGCTATCGACGGTTCAATGATAACTGTGATGCCAAAGCACGACGCATTGAAAGATCCTCTTGTATTTAAACCCAACGAGTTAAGGAAATATTTCAAGCAGGGTGATCACGTTAAAGTGTTGGCGGGGCGGTACGAAGGAGATACCGGACTCATAGTTAGAGTTGAACCACATAGAGTGGTTCTAGTATCCGACTTAACTATGCACGAGTTGGAGGTTCTTCCTAGAGACCTTCAACTATGTTCCGACATGGCGACTGGTGTAGATTCCTTAGGACAGTTTCAGTGGGGCGATATGGTCCAACTCGATCCACAAACTGTAGGAGTGATTGTAAGATTGGAAAAGGAAAACTTCCATGTTTTAGGCATGCAGGGAAAAGTTATAGAGTGCAAACCCCAAGCGCTTCAGAAACGTCGCGAAAACAGATTCACTACGGCGCTCGACTCCGAACACAACACGATACAGAAAAAGGATATCGTGAAAGTAATAGACGGCCCGCACGCCGGGCGGGAGGGCGAGATAAAGCACCTATATAGAAATTTCGCCTTCCTGCAATCGCGAATGTACCTGGACAACGGCGGCATATTCGTCTGCAAAACGCGCCACTTACAACTGGCGGGCGGAGCGAAGAACTCAGCGACGGCGAACGGATTGGCGCTCGGGTTCATGTCGCCGCGTCTTCAATCGCCCATGCATCCCTCAGCGCGGGGTGGTGGGGGCAGGGGACGTGGTCGCGGCGGCCGGGGTGCCGTGGCGCGGGACCGGGAGCTCATCGGGCAGACGATCAAAATCACGGGCGGGCCGTACAAGGGCAATGTGGGGATCGTCAGGGACGCCACGGGAAGCACGGCGCGCGTAGAACTGCACACCATGTGCCAGACGATATCAGTAGACCGCGGGCATATCGCAGAAGCGGGCACGGGTGCGCGTGGCGGTGCGTCGAGTTACTCGCGCACGCCGATGCGCATGACGGGCTCGCACACGCCTACGTACCGCGACACAGGAATAAAGACGCCGATGCACGGCTCCCAAACGCCGATCTACGAATCGGGTGCGAGGACCCCACACTACGGGTCGGCGACACCGTCGCACGAAGGGGGGCGTACTCCGGCGCATGGCGTTTGGGACCCGTCGGCGTCGGCTACGCCGGCGCGTACCGATTTCGAGTTCGAGGAGTCGGGCGGGTACGGGCAGGGTCCGTTCACGCCGCAGACGCCTGGCACGATGTACGGCTCGGACTCGTACAGCCCGTACCGGCCCAGTCCGAGCCCGGCGGGCTTCCCGGCCGGCTACCTGGGCGCGCCCAGCCCGGCCGACTACTCACCCAGCTCGCCCGCCTACGCGCCGCCCACGCCCGCCGGACCAAGCGACACTCCCGACTGGCACACCACCGATGTCGAGGTAAGATCACTCCGTAATAATTTTTATAAAGTATCTTTAAATGTTTTTTAATTCATTGAGTGATAGCACTGAAACGGATATATTCCTTAAGGTTGCACAAGCCGCGGGCTCGAACTCACTGGTGCGCGGCCAAAAAGCACGCTGTCTCACCTGGCATCGTGCCCGACAGAGATAGTATCAGTGATGAGCAGATCGACACTAGTATTCACGCACGTCTTGTTCGTACGGCGTTCCGAACCGTTCGAACAAAAACGAAGTTACACGAACATGATGCACACATCTATACTAATATAATAAAGCGGAAGAGTTTTTTTTGTTTGTTTTAACGTGCTAATCTCTGGAGTCCGATTTGAAAAATTATTTTTGGATTTTAAATCAATGAAGCAAATCAGCGCCAATTCCAAGATAATGTAAACTTCTCGATGATTATATTACGTTTAATCTCTTCAAAAGCTAATTTTTTGTCTATAAAAGTGGTGTATATTAGTTATGAATTGTCTATCATGTCACTAGTCTTTAAAGTCTTTGAACATGATTTTGTTGGTGTGGGATCTTATTATGGCGCCTGTTCGTAGGTGCGCGTTTCTGCGAGCGCAGAGGAGGGCGTTCGCGGGCAAACGGGCGTGCTGCGGTCGCTGGCGGGCGGCGCCTGCGCCGTGTTCCTGCCGCGCGACGAGCGCGTCGTGTCGCTGCCCGCCGCGCTGCTCGAGCCCGTCGTGCCGCAGTCCGGCGACCGCGTCAAGGTCACTCGCACTCGCACTCACTACACTGTACACTGCACACTGCACATTACACTGTACACTACACGCCTGCGCCGTGTTCCTGCCGCGCGACGAGCGCGTCGTGTCGCTGCCCGCCGCGCTGCTCGAGCCCGTCGTGCCGCAGTCCGGCGACCGCGTCAAGGTCACTCGCACTCGCACTCACTACACTGTACACTGCACACTGCACATTACACTGTACACTACACGCCTGCGCCGTGTTCCTGCCGCGCGACGAGCGCGTCGTGTCGCTGCCCGCCGCGCTGCTCGAGCCCGTCGTGCCGCAGTCCGGCGACCGCGTCAAGGTCACTCGCACTCGCACTCACTACACTGTACACTGCACACTGCACATTACACTGTACACTACACGCCTGCGCCGTGTTCCTGCCGCGCGACGAGCGCGTCGTGTCGCTGCCCGCCGCGCTGCTCGAGCCCGTCGTGCCGCAGTCCGGCGACCGCGTCAAGGTCACTCGCACTCGCACTCACTACACTGTACACTGCACACTGCACATTACACTGTACACTACACGCCTGCGCCGTGTTCCTGCCGCGCGACGAGCGCGTCGTGTCGCTGCCCGCCGCGCTGCTCGAGCCCGTCGTGCCGCAGTCCGGCGACCGCGTCAAGGTCACTCGCACTCGCACTCACTACACTGTACACTGCACACTGCACATTACACTGTACACTACACGCCTGCGCCGTGTTCCTGCCGCGCGACGAGCGCGTCGTGTCGCTGCCCGCCGCGCTGCTCGAGCCCGTCGTGCCGCAGTCCGGCGACCGCGTCAAGGTCACTCGCACTCGCACTCACTACACTGTACACTGCACACTGCACATTACACTGTACACTACACGCCTGCGCCGTGTTCCTGCCGCGCGACGAGCGCGTCGTGTCGCTGCCCGCCGCGCTGCTCGAGCCCGTCGTGCCGCAGTCCGGCGACCGCGTCAAGGTCACTCGCACTCGCACTCACTACACTGTACACTGCACACTGCACATTACACTGTACACTACACGCCTGCGCCGTGTTCCTGCCGCGCGACGAGCGCGTCGTGTCGCTGCCCGCCGCGCTGCTCGAGCCCGTCGTGCCGCAGTCCGGCGACCGCGTCAAGGTCACTCGCACTCGCACTCACTACACTGTACACTGCACACTGCACATTACACTGTACACTACACGCCTGCGCCGTGTTCCTGCCGCGCGACGAGCGCGTCGTGTCGCTGCCCGCCGCGCTGCTCGAGCCCGTCGTGCCGCAGTCCTGCGACCGCGTCAAGGTCACTCGCACTCGCACTCACTACACTGTACACTGCACACTGCACATTACACTGTACACTACACGCCTGCGCCGTGTTCCTGCCGCGCGACGAGCGCGTCGTGTCGCTGCCCGCCGCGCTGCTCGAGCCCGTCGTGCCGCAGTCCGGCGACCGCGTCAAGGTCACTCGCACTCGCACTCACTACACTGTACACTGCACACTGCACATTACACTGTACACTACACGCCTGCGCCGTGTTCCTGCCGCGCGACGAGCGCGTCGTGTCGCTGCCCGCCGCGCTGCTCGAGCCCGTCGTGCCGCAGTCCTGCGACCGCGTCAAGGTCACTCGCACTCGCACTCACTACACTGTACACTGCACACTGCACATTACACTGTACACTACACGCCTGCGCCGTGTTCCTGCCGCGCGACGAGCGCGTCGTGTCGCTGCCCGCCGCGCTGCTCGAGCCCGTCGTGCCGCAGTCCGGCGACCGCGTCAAGGTCACTCGCACTCGCACTCACTACACTGTACACTGCACACTGCACATTACACTGTACACTACACGCCTGCGCCGTGTTCCTGCCGCGCGACGAGCGCGTCGTGTCGCTGCCCGCCGCGCTGCTCGAGCCCGTCGTGCCGCAGTCCGGCGACCGCGTCAAGGTCACTCGCACTCGCACTCACTACACTGTACACTGCACACTGCACATTACACTGTACACTACACGCCTGCGCCGTGTTCCTGCCGCGCGACGAGCGCGTCGTGTCGCTGCCCGCCGCGCTGCTCGAGCCCGTCGTGCCGCAGTCCGGCGACCGCGTCAAGGTCACTCGCACTCGCACTCACTACACTGTACACTGCACACTGCACATTACACTGTACACTACACGCCTGCGCCGTGTTCCTGCCGCGCGACGAGCGCGTCGTGTCGCTGCCCGCCGCGCTGCTCGAGCCCGTCGTGCCGCAGTCCGGCGACCGCGTCAAGGTCACTCGCACTCGCACTCACTACACTGTACACTGCACACTGCACATTACACTGTACACTACACGCCTGCGCCGTGTTCCTGCCGCGCGACGAGCGCGTCGTGTCGCTGCCCGCCGCGCTGCTCGAGCCCGTCGTGCCGCAGTCCGGCGACCGCGTCAAGGTCACTCGCACTCGCACTCACTACACTGTACACTGCACACTGCACATTACACTGTACACTACACGCCTGCGCCGTGTTCCTGCCGCGCGACGAGCGCGTCGTGTCGCTGCCCGCCGCGCTGCTCGAGCCCGTCGTGCCGCAGTCCTGCGACCGCGTCAAGGTCACTCGCACTCGCACTCACTACACTGTACACTGCACACTGCACATTACACTGTACACTACACGCCTGCGCCGTGTTCCTGCCGCGCGACGAGCGCGTCGTGTCGCTGCCCGCCGCGCTGCTCGAGCCCGTCGTGCCGCAGTCCGGCGACCGCGTCAAGGTCACTCGCACTCGCACTCACTACACTGTACACTGCACACTGCACATTACACTGTACACTACACGCCTGCGCCGTGTTCCTGCCGCGCGACGAGCGCGTCGTGTCGCTGCCCGCCGCGCTGCTCGAGCCCGTCGTGCCGCAGTCCGGCGACCGCGTCAAGGTACTCGCACTCGCATACACTACACTGTACACTGCACACTACACTGTACACTACACGCCTGCGCCGTGTTCAACAGCTGTTAGTGTGCGTGAGTTTTGGAACTCGCTCACTGGGCTGCAGCGTTGCAATTTTTCAGTGCTGAACAGATTGAATACTATCAAGAGGTAAGATAGCAAATTATTAATTTTATTGTATTATACTTATGCAGGTCATTGCTGGCGAGGACCGTGAAGCTGTAGGACAACTCATCTCAATAGAGAACCAGGAAGGAGTTGTCAAATTTGGAACGGACGACATCAAGATCATGCAACTTAGACACTTGTGCAAGATGAGTGCTGCGTAGAGAGAACACTGGGCTTAACCTACCAAAGGAAAAATTTTGCTCCCAATCTTACGAATTTCTAGAAACCTAACTCGATTTTGAGTTGTAGTGTTGTACATGTAAGATTGGAAATGAAAGTAATTAACACTGAAGGCATGTTGAGATAACTTAAGGTAAAGCAAAGTTAGAGAGATTTTAAGCAGACCTAAAAATATAAGCATATACATAATGTGAATACCTGTATATTAAATTATATGACATGGGCTTGTTACATGATGTAGTGCTGTATGTAAATGTTATGTAACGCTTGATAATTGTTTTCAACAATAAAACATTTAATAATTAATTGTGGTTTACCTAAATTACCATTAATTCATAGCCTTTTTTTTATATAGAATTAGGGTGACAAACGAGCACACAGTCCACCTGATGGTAAGTGGTTGCTGTGGCCCATAGACATCTGCATCTATTCTCGTTTGTGAATTAAAATGTAGATGCGTTGTCAGCCTTGAGGACTAAGATAGAATGCCTCTTTTCCAGTAAAATGGGTCTCCGGTTCTCTACACTCACCATACGAAACACAGCAGCATTAAACTGCTATTTTACGCTGGTATTCTGTGAGAGCGTGGTCCTTCCCCGGTCGAGCCGACGCATTCGTGCTACAACTATACTATTAATATAGCTGCAGCATGGCTCTACCACGTAAACCTATCTACCTACATAAATCCCAATGGTGGGTACAAGCCTTCGTATGACTGAGGGTTTTTTGGGCAGGGAAATGTCAGGCGCATTGTCCTAACGCTTGTTAGAGGTTTTACTCTTCGAGATATTTAATTCTCGGATATGCCGGCTTCCTCAAGATGTTTCACTTTAACGCCGAGCACTTAAGGGCCTATATTACCTCGGCTCAAATTCTAATTTCGCCCCCACTTCCCCGCCCCATTCGTTCGCACACTATGGCTCGCGGTCACGCGGGAACACGAGGTCAAAGCGATTTTGTTAGAGTAAAACAAACTATTATCGAACGAACATAAAGAAATAAAATTTTCAGTCATAATTTAATATTAACTTGTCATTAAATGAACATAAAATTATATGTCGCAAATTTAATTTCATTGTACATAAAGCTATATATCTAATATAAGTTGACCCTTCATTATATGGAAAGCCTATACAATACGAGATCAGCAGGGCTATTCACAATCGTCTCGGAAAGCGAAATCGACTCGGACACCGAAACCAATAAACGCTATTAACATTTAACGTTCGGATAAAGGTGACTTAGATACATCCTATAACTATTGTGTCGTCATTTAGTTACATGCATTTACGAATTTTGTAGATAAATAGGCTTTTGTAATTTTTTAGAGTAACGCCTGCACAAAAACATAATGCAATATTTTGGAGTTAGCCATTGATATGGAATATAAAAAATATATAATTTAACTATATAATAAATAACAAAAAAACTGAGATATGTCTCGTTTCTGTCGGGTCTGGGTTTTTTTCTATGGGGCGTTCTTTGACGTTTGTTTTCGATAATTGTGACAGTTTGCATCGGAAACTTTACGAGGGCTCTGAGGCTGGCGAAAACTTTTCGAATATTGATGATTAGAAGAGATAAATAAACCCTTTTAATTATAAGGTAGGTAACAAAAGTTAATTACAATTATCTATAAGACGTATTTTCATATAATTACTTCAATATTTGCACTTAATCGTAAAGCTGAATTTTTGTGAAAGGTGTGTTTTTATAAGTTTTCTATCACAAATATATATATGCTGCTTTGTGAAACGAGACATATCTCAGTTTTTTTGTTATTTATTATATAGTTAAATTATATATTTTTTATATTCGATATCAATGGCTAACACCAAAATATTGCATTATGTTTTTGTTTAGGCGTTACTCTAAAAAATACAAAAGCCTATTTATCTACAAAATTCGTAAATGCATGTAACTAAATGACGATACAATAGTTATGGGATGTATCTAAGTGACCTTTATCCGAACGTTAAATGTGAATAGCGTTTATTGGTTTCGGTGCGAGAAGTTATCGAATCCGAGTCAAATTCGCTTTCCGAGACGATTGTGAATAGCCCGGCAGCTTATACTGGTTTATTCTCTTATAATGAAAGGATCTGCCCATTGTTGGTTTAGTCACAGAATAAATAATAGTACTACGTACAGAAGTTGCACTCTCTTGATGTTGAATGCTTGCCGACGTTTTAATTGCCTACATAGTTATTATTAATCAGATAAATCGCGCACGCAAGCTAAATAAAACTATCGCTGCGCGCATACTTTGCATCTTTTCTCCTTACTACGTCACAACGGACTTTCCGTGGTTGCTAAGGGCTGTTAATAAAGAGTAAAAAAATACATCGTGAAATGATAAGTTACCTAGGTAAAATACCTATGCTGACTATAATCGACCATATTATCTACTATGTGAGTTCTGTGATGCCCAACGCGTGCAACTTGCAAGGTCATTCGCCGGGAATTGCGATACTTGATACGTATAGGTAGATAGCGTAAACAACAAATAAACCCAAAATACGATTCCAAACAGAAATATGATTGTAATCTACTTAGTTGACAATCGTGTAAACAAAGTTTTAATTTCAGTATTTTGTGCTATTATAACTCAAAATATTTTAATTACAAAGACGAGTATAGATATGTAAGTAGGTACGTCGGTAGTGAAGTTAATTTCAACTAAGTTTTGTAATAAAGTACTTAGGTATTACTTCTGTAGTTAAATTATTACTTAATTATTGTTTCGCTATAAGTACCTATCTAACAAAAAAAAATGAAATAAATTTACCTTTCATTATCCTTCGGTAACTCAAGAAATGATATATCTGAATCCTTTTAAATGCTCATTAAGCATCCATCCCCCCAACAATTATAGTAGGAACGACGTTTTACCATTATAATTTATCAAATAGATAGGTAATATTTTATTATTCTTAAATTACATTAATACTTTTTCAAATTTTATCCTACAATTAAATATACTAAACAGTAAACAAAAACTATTTCGACGAGTATTTCAACAAGTATTTACAAAAAATAATTTACGTAAACACCGTTAAAAAAATTTAACATTCAATCGTATAGAGCGCGCTAGTCCCGACTGCGATCCTTTGCTGCGATCTACCCCTGGGGCAGCTCGCGATTGTAGGTAATTATTTCACGCAGGTAGCAAGAGTGACAGAGGCCTGGTTTAGTAGTAAACTTGAGTTTTATAGTATTATAGTTTTTGTATATTTGTAATGTGACAGCCATTTACGTATGTAATTTAATTGGTAGTAGGTCTATGCAAGTATCTACATATACACACATACACACACACAAAGACGTGTGTGTGTGTGTGTGCGTGCGTGCGTGTGTGTGTGTGTGTGTATGTGTATAATAACTAAAAAAGGAAGTACCTAGTATGTAATACAAGGCGAAAACTATATTGTAATAAGTTTATAAGATTGTAAAATGCAAAGCGTAAACTTACTACCAAGCCAATGTACCTTCCTACAGAACTTTCAGTGCAATGGTGATTCGCGCTTGACTAGTTTTTTGTAGCAGTAGAATTTATACAGTGGTTTAGAATCGGTTTGCAAAATTTCTTATAGGTATTTTATTTTATTAATTAATTACAACGGTTTTACTCCAATTACAGTAATTAATAATTTTGAAAGGCACATGAGAATAAACTATGCTATAATTAAAACTATACTATGAAAAATACATACTATGATACAAATTATATATCATTGCTTTCGCAAAATCGACATACAAATAAACAAGCTGACAACAGCACATTCCAACTATCCGCAAATCAAGATCGTTGATTGCGCTATGCATTCGACATAGTGGGGAATAAGCGCGCGACAGCGTGCGCGATGATGCCGTCGCGAATAATCTAGGCCGGCGATATGTCGCAAGTAGTGGTCAGGCACATAGATCTTGCATAAGGTCTTGCGTAGGCCTACAGATAGTTGTGAAAATTTATGTTTGTAATCGCACCGTCGCCGATTCAGGAGAAATCCTGAAATGGGTAAACGTTATAAAAAAACAATTACTAAATAGATACCTATATTTTACTTATACCTAAATTTCTACATATTCGTAATCACTAACACTGTAAGTAGATAGGTCGGTAGATACTTCATTACGTTTATCATATGTTTGTCCGTTTCTTTACGCCAACCCAGTCGCTTCTTTTTTTATTACGCTTTTTTCCCATTGCGCGAACACTATAAATCTAAGTATCTATTTCAATATTTTAAATTTAAATTTTTTTCTCCTTAGCTCGACAGGGTGAACCAGATGTTTGCGGCTTTGGGAGTGGCCAATAGGGTCACCCCAGCTGCCTTGGGTAGTAAATCTAAAGATGGGCCTGTATTTTTATCATACATTTCACACAACATACTCGATGTAATACAGAATAACGTCATATGTGTAATAAATAATAATAGTGAGTCAACTCCGCGACTAGACCGAGCAACGACGGGGCGCGGTATAAAGGAGAGCAGAATCCCACCGCGACGTCAGCGGTAATACCGGTCGGCTTCGCTTGCGTACCGGTACGCCCGTTTAGGAGTGTCAAGTGCACGGAATGAGTTACCCGCGTTTGGTGTTCAACCAGCAGCATAATATTACTCGATATTATTTTGAAATATTGTGAAAGATAGTGTGACGCTTTAAGAGGCGTATTACAAAAAAAAATGAAATTACAAGGTTTCCTCGTTGAAATTGTATGTTTATCGTTCGTTGCTTGGAATAACAATTACTTGGTAAAAATAGTTCGTTTTCTCTCCTCAAATAAGCTCAGAGCGGATTTTAGATAACTTATTTATTTAATCAGAAATAATCATTCTCTCGATGCATGTTTAGGCAAAAACTCTCGAAGACATGATTTGGGAGCTCTAATTTGTAGATTCTATTGAATATCGACCATCAAAAAAAAATATTTTTATGTATCCCAAATATCCTACACTTCAATAATAATGGAATACAT